ACAACGACATGAATAATTTAACTGAAAACACCATACTACGAATGCTCTGTCTGGCTAGTGTCTTTTTACTAAGAAATAATGGGAACGCTTATTTAAGAGGACTAACTAATAATAAAGAAACTAACAAATTCTTCACCACAAAGTACTATACCAGCAAAGGCAAAGAAGAAAATAGCACTTGCATTAATCTGTATAAACATTCACATAGGAACAATACACTAAAACAGCAGCCTTATGCCTTCAAGTTTCTTGCTCACGGTTTTAACCACAGGCCAGCTGAAAATTCCATATGCCCTATTTGTTGTCCGACAGTATTTGAGTCTAATACAGTTTAAACTGTGGATTAAACACATAAGCCATTTAATTTCTGGTGTCTGTGTGTTTTTAGGTTTTTCTTCCGTCATTTAATATCATGCTGACCTAGTAACTTGGTAGGTAATGCTGCGGCAAGGACTAAATTTACAGGAAAGATAAAATGCTGATTGTAACTAGATCTGGTATATTTCAAAATACAGTAGGTAAGATTTATTCTAAAGCTGTCAAAGAATGTTGGCTAGAGAAAAGGTGACATTTGAGCTAGATTTTGAAGGATGAATGAATCATTCACCAAGTTGGAAGTGGAGTGGGAATGGCTCTGGAGATAAAAGTCTGGCTAGCTTGAGAATGAGGAGTACTCAACAGAGGCTGGAGTGAAAGGTAAGAAAGGTAGAGGGGTGTGGCAGCAAATGAAAACAGGTTGGACTGAGGAATTTGGATTTAACCATACTGGACAACGGGAATCTACCAAGTATTTTTCTGCAGAAAAGTTACATGAGATTCCTTTTAAAACAGTAAGTGGTCTTAGGCAACACAAAAGAATAAAGTGCAGAAGCATTAAGGTAAGTAAAATTGTTGGGAGGTTGCATTTAAGAAGCAATCATGACAGCGGGGATAGGAATGAGAAGGCAAATCTGACCATTTTAGGAGGTAGAACCAATACAATTTAACATCCAAGTTTAAGTGAGGGAGTTAAGGAAGACTCCAGGAAAGGTGACAGAATATGGAAAATGACATCCGAGTTGATCTCCATCTCTGCCACACATGCTGCACTCCAGCCATCTCCCAAACAACTTGCAATTCCAAGTCGTGCGCGCTCGCGTTTCCAGGCTTTTTATCTACCGGCCACCTAATGAGCCAGGTGAACTCTTCAGGAAGCCTGCCCTGACTACAACCGGGAAAGGTGCCTAGTCCCTGTGCTCCAGCAGCCCGCAGCGCTCCCTCCAGTCAGTTTACACATGGTCACTCCCTTCTGACAACCGACATCCAGCCTCCCCTTCACTGCGGTCTCCCCAGCGCTTGGCACCCAGGGGGCATTCCCGAAATGTTGCCTGAGTGTCCGTGGCCGAAGGGACTCAGACCGCGCGCTCTTTTAAGCTCTGGCAGTCTTGGGGTTCTAGGGTCACTATCATTACTAAAATATCCCCTAATGGACAAAAAAATTCAGCCCAGAGTCCCGGAGAGTTTGCGGACCCTAAGTCCACGACACTTGTGCACCGGAGACTCCCCCGAACTAGGCTCTCCCTGTCAAGCTCCCGGAACGAGCGCTGACGCCCGGCCGGCCGGCTCCGGAGTCAGTCCCCCCACCCAGCCCCAGCCGGGCTCTGAGGCCTCGCCGTTACCTCGATAGGACCTCCAGATCTTCAAGCGCAGACAGCAGCCGCTCTCGCGTGCTGTTACCACCCGCCGCTCCCGAGCCTCCTGCGAGCCGTTCCTTCTCCTTCTCCCCGCTGGAAGACGCCGCCATGCTCCCCACGGGCCAGCAGACGACATAGGGACGCTGCGAGCCCAAGCCGGAGGAGGTGGGCTCGGAAGCGGAAGGAAGGGTCACGGGGGCGAGGGACGTGAGGCCCGGGCAGAGCGCCCCCTGCTCTCCTGGAGGCGCACTGCGGGCGCCGGCGCCATCTGCTGGGCCGGCAAGGGCTTTGGGGTCCAAACGCTGTGAGACTCGGCTGAACCGAGCACCGGAAGCACCACACACTCGGGTCTTCTTGGGCCTAATGTTTTTCAAGCGGCAATAGGAGGCTTCTGTTAAACGGTTTTTGGTTTTGATTTGGGTTTTGTTTTTTGAGACAGGGTCCCCCTCTGTCGCCCGGCTAGAGTGCAGTGGCATCATCGTAGCTCGCTGCAACCTCAAATTCCTGGGCTGAAGTGATCCTCCTGCCTCAGCCTCCCTAGT